TCAGCAGCTCCTTCTAGTCAATGTGGTTAATTCAATACCAGTAGCCGGTACTGGAATGAGAGGATGAGATATTGCAAAAGGCAGGGACCGATAATCGAATCCACAACTGCATTGCTGTACATAGATCATCCGTTTATGGACGCAGCAGTTCCTGCAAGGTTACACTGGCAGTGGAACACCAACTTGTATTTTCTTGGGTCATAAACTGATAGAAAATAAAGCAAATTAATAACTAATGATGTGGTTGATAAAGGTAATATGCATAAATATTAACTAAATTTTAATCCTGGTCTAATTACAAACACCCCAGTAGCATTCTAAAAAATGACCATTTATTAAACTGTCACTGTAAATGTTATTATTGTTGATATCACTTCTAGCATTCTAAGCAGATGGCCACTCAGCAATAATCCATTGCTCTGTTAGCTATGAGCTATTAATTTTACTCAGGGTTGGACATTTTCTGTATTTGCTTATATAATGTTTGTCCAAAAGGGCAGAAAAATCTAACAATTTACAGTGTTTCCACTAGAGACTCATGCACGTGACTCTGCGTGTGTCAGAGTCTGGTGTTGAAAAATGTCTGTTACAATCTCTAAAACCAAAAGTACGAATTGTGGGAATTGTTGTAAGACAGGAATCACAAACCTTCATGAGACTGAGGCCTACTTCAGGGCTACAGAGGAACAAGAACAGAATGGATGGAGGTGTAGCAGGAAACAGACCTTCAATTATAAAACATTATTTATTTTATGCTAATCTGAAACAGTATTATATGAAATTTAGTGTATTTTGTAAATATATTTKGCAGTTTTGTAGGAATGAACATGCTTGTAATATTCATTAACATAAACCTGTTTCTATTGCTTCTGTAATATATGTCTTAAAGAAGCTATTATTAATCCTCAAATCATGCCTTGTTTCTAATGATCATTGTCTTGAATTTGTATTTGAATTGAAGCATACTGAAATGTCTAAAATACTCAACAACTGCTACTCTGTAAAGTTGGGGCGTTGTGTGAAATGTAAATCCAAACATCTCATAAACCTGTCTTGTACTCATAGTAAAACATGCATTGAAAWTTTAAACAAACAATTGCACCTTAGAGCTGTTTTACACTTTGTTCATTTAAAAAGAGCTTTGACCCAGACATCAAAGTTCTTGATATGTTTACATACGGCTTCTTTTTTGCATGATAGAGCTGTATCCTGCATTTGTAGATGGCGTGCAAATTGTGTATACAAACAACAAGTTGTGTTGCTGAGCCCACGCAGTGATGCACAGAACAGAATCTGATCTGGTTGTGATGCAGCGCTGCCTGAGGGCCGACGATCACGAGCATCCAGTATTGACTTTTCATTTTTGTCCTTTGAACACAGATTTCTTTAGATTCTTCAAATTTTTTGATGATCTTATGAACTGTAGATGATGAAATTATATACACAGGCAGTTTTTCACAGCCTGGTGAACCTCTTGATTCAACCTCTCTTAAACTTTAATCAGCAACATTATTTAAAATGTATATGTTTAAAAGTGTTTAGTGTAAGCCTTGTGTCGTTAATACTCCACGGTCCCCTCTGAATAAAAAAAAACGTTGGATACTTTGTGTAACTTTTGGCTTCTAGTATTATATTCTMTAATAAAGCATCTTTCTTTCTTTTTCTTCTTTTTTTATTTATTTATTTTTTGAAGTGCAACAATGCTTTTTAAAGTTATGGTTATGTGCTTGTTGGCTCTGAAGACCAACAGACTTTGGWGCTGAACGTTTGTGTTACCCTGTGTGAAGAGAAAAAAAAACGTCAGTTTGGTAATTTCTTCACCCAGATCACCTTTAACCCTGGATCTGTGCAGCATGGGCTGAGAAATATGGTCCTCTTTTCTTTTACAGAGGTCATTCTTTGTTTCTTTTTGTGCCYAAGCTCRSTGAACGCAGGCACAAAAGCAGCCATAAAAGCAAAGCGCTCTGGTTTGGAAYGAGACCTGTTCTTTTAGCTCTCTATAAAAAGCTTTAAGTTGGGTGCTGTTTTGGATAAAGCTCTCATCAGATCGTCGGGTAAAAATAGTTTATTACCCATGAGGAATTCTCCTTGGATGAAGATGGTAGTTAGTCTATTTCCTGCATTTAGCCAACAAACTCTTAAGTCTCAAATGAGAGAAGAAATTATGTTTCTAACTGGTGCTACAGGCTCTGCAAAAAAACAAATCAAAAGCGATAAATTAGCATAAATTTGTTGGAAGCAGAGCAGCAGATTTTTGCTATTTTTGAATGAAATACTTGACATTAACATTAAGGAAAAGTAGTTGCAATAAACTATGATGGTTTTGTCTGGCTGCTGCTGAAGAGTTTACTGATGCTACTTTACAAGGATGCTGTGTAATTTCCTCAGCTGGAGAACATTTGTAATAAAAAAAAACTTCTCAGTGAGGCACAGTTTTAGTCCTGCTTTCGTTTATTGGGTTGTGCAGCTACTGTTTGCTCACCCAGCTCAGTGCTGCAGTTCAACCACAGATCATATCTTGCTTTTATAGTATCTCTACGACATAAAAAACAGTTTCAGTTTAAAGCTTCAMCATCAGATAAAGAGTATCAAATGTTGTGCGAAGACAACAAACCAACGTTTTGGAGAATCCTACAACTGAGCTGAGCTACAACTGAGTGGTAAAACATCTGCTACGTGTGAATACACAAGAGGAGCTTCAGTTGCCATTTTTGTAGCTAGTTTAAAGTTTTGCTTTATGACTGAGTATTGATTGTTTTTAGACCGCTCAATCAGTATTTGTATTGGAAGGATCTCTTTATGTTCTTCTTTTGTTTAGTATATTTCACATTAATTTCACTCACGGGTTGTAAGTCACAAGCGTGACCCACAACAACGAGAAGCACCAACAATCAGTGTTGCAACAGGAATGCAAAGTTTTAAAAAAACAGGATCTTAGAATCGTTATTGCTTAACAAAAAGAGACAGATATTACCTTCAACCAGAGCTAAAACCTGTTACCTCTGATGAGAATGATGGAGAGCGTCTCCTACATAAACTGCTGAGATTTGTCATCTAATGCAGTGGTTCCAAAACTTTTTATCTTCTGACCCACAAAATGTCCATGGCAAAAACTTGTGACCCCAAATATTACTGGTCTGAGTACACGAACTTCGTTAATGACCCTAAAACACAGGCTTTTTGAGAATCTAAACAGCTTATACACAAATATAAATACTTATTTATACGTATTTTGTGTTTTTGTAATAATTATAGGGAAAATATTACATCATCAATTGTTTTATTATCCTTTAAATTGATTTCTGGAGATTATCCAAGGTGCTTCATGACCCATAATTGGGTTCCAAGCCCAACTTCAGGAACCAAAGTGCAGTGGTTCCCAAACTTTTCAGCTTTTGATCCACAAAACAGTAGCAGACCTGCGCGTGTCCAACTATGTTTGGATGATAAACATTTGTATCGGTCAACAAAACATGGGCATAGTAATAATATTTATTATACTACATTTATCCATTTTAAATATACTAACCTCACTCCTTTGTAACAACTAAGACAAAAATGTAATTAATTCAGAAAATCTTTTTCAGGACCCCATCTTGATGTTTCGGGACCCCACTTTGGGTCCCGACCCCAACTTTGGGAAACACAGATCTAATGCAGTGGAAAATAAACAACTAAAAAGCATTAAAAATCAGTGTGTTTTCACTGCAAGGTTAGAAAAATATTAATGCTTGACATTCAAGGGGACATATGTAAAATCCACTTTTTTTAGCTGTTAAATGCATTTTGTTGTGAACTTGGAGTCTCGGATTGCAGAAAAGTTGAATTTACTTTCTCCCACTGCTGCGTATATCTTTATATTCTGTTATACGTCATATTTTTCAACCTGTTCAGTTGCATTTTCTGAACTATTCAAATTATTTGCAACAGAACTGCCAACTAAGGTCCGGACTTACCATCTAAAATTTTGTTGTGTTTTTCCCCCTCTGGCTCTGGGACAGACTCTGACTCCAACATGTAAGGCTGGATGGACAAGTCTTCTGTTGGTGACATCTTTTAATTAATTTGTAAATAAAAGTTTCTGCCCTAGATCCTTGTAAAACCCTCTATCAAACTGGAATGAACCACTGGATGAGGGGGTGGAGTGTGAAGCTCCTCATTTGGGTTTAAAGAGATAGCATCCAAACAAGTTGATCTGAGACACATCTCAGAAAAGGGGTGAAAGGGGGGCTTGTGGAGTTATAATAAGGAGAAATTCAGACCAAAACATTACAGGATATGCTGAATTTAAGATGATCTCTATAGCAGTGTATTAATAAGGTGATAATTGAAACCTTGTTCACTTCTCACACTTRATGTTTTTGAGACAAAATGTTTGGAAACTGGTGAAGTTCTGAGCTGGTAGGCTTTCAGTTCACAAGCAGGTGTCAGTCATGGCTGGTTTAGATTAACAAGTCTAGTTGTGTTTGATTTTGTGTGCCTCATCCTGTCGCTGCTGCAGATATGAGTCTGGTTTGTTAGTTCAGCTGGTTGGAGAATATTCTGAGTGACTGTACGTGAGTCTATAACTCTGTGCTGTTCAGTAGTCGTTTCCAGAGCTTTTTTTTATTTCATTTCTTCTGGCCAGTGAAGTCGTGTTTATGTCTGCTACAAATTGTGGTGAGGAGATGTTAGGAGGCTTTAACAGATTCAGATAAAATTGTAGAAATTGTGTGTGGTATGAGTAAGCTTATGCTCAGCGAGCAATCTGGACATTTATCTGCCCTGTTGAGTCACACAAAGGGCCCTTTACGAGCTCCGCCTGTGTTTGTGTGTCGAGTCATGAAACCAAAACTCATTTTACATGAGATAGGATTTATCTTAGCCTCAGGAATCCAAGCTTCACTGAAAAGTTAAAACTCAGCTGTTTGTGTGCGTTTTTAGGCGCGTATGTAATCAAAGTTTAGAAAAAGATCTAATTGTTTTAATCTCATTCTTTTTTCTTCCTCATCTCTTTCCAGGTGCCAAGAGAGCTGGGGACTTATCTGTTCAGCTACATCCTTAATCCTCGTCAAGTCTCAGCTGACCTTTGCTGCGCTCCTCGTCGGCTCCTTCGCACCCCCCTCCCCTTCCTCCCCTCCGTCCCCCTGTCTTAATCTCCCCCTCCTCTGTTTGGTGTCTCCCAGCCTCCGGGCTTATTACTCAAACCCACAGACGGGAACAACACAGTGGTTGGCAAAGGATGAAGCGGCTCTGCTCACCAATACCAGACAGAGGATAGAAGACACAAAAAAGACTCGCAAAGGGAGGAGCGACAGTAAGATAGAAAAAGAAAGACAACCAGCAGAGAGAAAGAGAGAGAGAGCAGCTAGAAATCTGTGAGCGGCAACAGAAACAGTCAAGATGCCGCCACAAAGGAAGTGCACACGTTTCAGTTGAGTGTCACCATCTAGCAACAGTCTCCAAACAAACTTAGGACTTTTTTTTTAAAACTGTCTTTTGGTCAGCTTGCTCAAAGAAGTTGTGGAGACACACACTTCTGCTCGCCGAGGCTCCCCGCTAACCAGCTATGTCTGCGTAAGAAGAGTTCAGTCATGCCAGCCAAGGGGAAGTACCTGTTGAACGACCAGGAGCTGAAGAATGAGGCGCTGTACCGCAGGTTCTCCTGCATCAACCAGTATCAGCAGCTGGTTCGCCTGCTGGGCCTCTCCATGCTCTCCTGCGGGACTCTCCTCATCATCTTCTTTGCCCTGGGACTGGTGAGTTTTCACGGCCACGCTTCTTATGAGGATTTTACTCTCATTTCTAAAGCAATCAGAGGTGTTTGGTAAAGCCACAGGTCAGYATTTGTGTTTATGGTTTTTAGAACAAAATCTATTAAATGCTGTTAAAGTTGCAGGTTTGTCTCATTTTTGGAGTTTAAATGTTCCAGTGTGGATTTTCTAAGAGTACCCTGGCTTCCTCCCATATAGACCCAAAACATGTTAGATTAAACACGATGTAGAGTCTCTCCAGGAGGAGTGAGAGTGGTTATTTGCCTTGGCTGTCTCTGCGTGGTGCTGTGATGAACTTGTGACCTGTCCAGGCTGTACCCCGCCCCTCCATCAGTGACCGATGGAGATAGGCACCAGCTCTCCCGCGACCCGGAAAGGAAAAAGCGGATAAAGAAAATACATGGGCGCAGGATCTTTTAGGTCTTTAATGTAAATAACTCAGATTTAGTCACCTCAGCTTATTTTCATTTGCTGTGCACAAAAGCAATGAACTCAGTCATTCATAACACAGTCACAGCTAGTTCTCCAAATAAGGGGATGGTTTATTTTATCTATTGTCCTGTTTTTAAAGACCTGGAAGATGACCTGAGAGAGATAATGTTCTCTGGTTCTGCATGTGTAGTGTTTTAGGTATGCGCTGCTCTACAAGGTAATACTTAAAGCCCACAAAGCATCACCAGTCTAAATTTATAATCCATTATTTTTTAAAGCTTGCTCACGCAGTCTTTCTGCTGTTTTCGAAGAGCAATGTAAGAAATTACAAACTTATGAAGTTCAAACGAAGGCAGCTGGACTTCTTTGATTCTTAAAAATGTTTCTTACTTCCAGCTTAAATCTAAGGAGTTACAAACGTCCAACCATAAGAATCAGACTGGGCTGCTGAAATAAAACCAGAGGCTGACATTGTGTTGACTCTAAAAGGTTTTGTGCAATGAATATTGTTTTCAATATTTAAATGTTCACAATGTTTCTCAATAAATATATCTGAATAAATGTTTCTCATTTGTTTGAAATTATGGCATATATTAACAATAATATTCATTAGATTAATTTTAAATACAGTTCTTGGCTTTTGTCTTACTTATTCTGTTTTATTTTAGTATGGTTGTGACTTATGTAACTTTTTTATGAGCACTGTCATTAAATGTGCACTGTTTGGGCCTAGGTCTGCCTCGACAATGAGATCTCTACCTCAATGGGGTTTTAAATCTGGTGAAATAAAATAAATTAAATTAATTGTTTCAGTATAAATGAACTGACTGCCCTTTTAATCATAAGTTAGACTGCTTGTTTCAATATTGATTCTTCCCTCTATAATTGATGTAATCATGTCAGATACGCAAATTTAACACACAATTGTTAACTTTGACCCCATTTAAATATAGGCCTGCACCTAACTGTAATTTTTATTGTTGCCTTATCTGTTGATTATTTTTTCATCTAATCGATTAGTTGATTAGTCACTAGTAGAGGATATTTAGCTTCTCATTCAGGAAACTTTTTCAGTTTAGAGAGTGGAGTTTCAAGCTTTAAAGTGCATGAGATAAAAGTCCAGCTGCTTTGTTCTATTTGAATTTTTAGGATTTGCCCTGACCTGGATGACCAATAATCTACAGCAGCCTACATTCTGCTGACATTGTGACCTATCACAAGGAATTTGAAGGTGTAACTAGGGCTGCACCATATTAGAAAAACTTGCGATAAGCTGTAATATTGTTACAAAGGTAATATCAGCTGTGATAAACCTACATTTTCCTCTCTCCTTATTTTCTCTTCTCTCATTTGTTGCATTGATCAGAGCATTAGCATGCAGAACATGAAACATGATTTAATCCAAACAGTCTTTTGTGTTTTGATATCACGCTCACTGATATTGTGATGATGGTATTTATGATATATTGTGCAGCCCTGGGTGTAACACATAGACAACCCGTACATAAAAACACATCTCTCGTCCATGAGTCATTTTGCACAATATTACCTGATTTAACACTGATATTCTTATAGCACAGAAATCTGAAGGCCTATCACTCATCCATCCTTTGAAGATAACTTTACAGAACAGACTTGCACCATTTTTACAACTTCATTGTGCTGAGAAGACCGATGTTATTGGTGTTTGTTCCTTTTTTGTGTTAAATACTGGAAGCAATATGTGATCTGGATGGTTAGCGTGAATCACTGGCTTGACTTTGAAAATATTTTATCTCCACAACCACTTAAATAAGCTTTCAGCCCCCCTTCACCGGCAGTGTGTGACTGCCGAGTAGTAAGTGAAGGAGTCATTTATTACATAACTGTTCAAAGGTGGCAAAGAGCATGATTGAAATGTGCATGGAAATAGGCAAAGCTTATGTTTGTTTCCTTTGTTTAGCTTGTTTAAGAGGACAACTTAGAAAAATATGCATGCAAAACATACAGGGTTCAAAGCTTGTAGAATTGCAGGTGATACCAGTAGGTCAGCAGTTGGAACTTAAGTAATCCTAGTTACATAAATGAAAGCATTAAAAGTGTATCTCTCAGAGGACAGAGAGGGTAATCACGCTCCTGACTTCTGCTGATGGGAGCTCGTTGTTGATATTGGCGCAATAACAAGCGGTGGTTCAGCCCAGAGACATCTTTTGTCAGCATAGATTATTACTTTCCTCTGTTTGAAAAGAAAAAAAAAAAAAACCTAACCTTCCTTCTATTGTGTTGCTGCTGAAGCAATCTTCATAGCACACTCCCTTTTTCTCTTGTTTCAGTCCTAGACAATGGCTTCAGTCCTCGTGCATACACTTTACACACTATGTATGCACACATGCAGTCATTTTGTCTCTCTCATGCTCTGCTCTCTCTAATTTTCCTGTTCAACTTTCTTGTCTGTAAGACCTGAGGTGACAATTGTTTGTATCAACAGACACTATATCTCCAGTTCATAATGTATTTTTTAAAGGGATCCATGATTAGTTGTAACATTAGACGTTATTTAATAAACATATTTTAACTGTAAAATAAAGACTGTAAAAATACTGTAGGCTGTT